TGTGGCGGAAAAAGGTTCAGATACCATGCAATAAGAAGCAGTGACAATCTGTCTTATAGAAATTATATTAAAAAATAATTTTGTTCAGAAATGAACAAATAATAATAATAATAGTTTATATAAAAATCTATCATGATCATGAAACGGTGAATGAAATATGATATCCAGGATGATATTTCGTGATCATGCCAGATTTTCAAATTTTTCGAAATTTGATAATATTTTTCATTTAAAATCCGAATGAATAAGTAAAATATGATATACAACTTGCTTGTATAACTTACTATTTGTGATGAATTATGTGCAGAAAAATTAATAATAAATAATTTTATTGTATTGATTTTTAAAACAGTTTATTTCATTTTTACTCATCTAATCATTATTATTTTACATTAATTAAATACATTTATGGGATCTGGGATCACCCCAGTAATACTTTCAACACAAAAGCTATAAATCAGTCAGTCACATTTACTCGCCAGATTATTTATTTGACGATTGAAAATTCAGCCCTGTATCTATGTAAATACCTACGGAATAAAGTAAATTAAGCAACAAATCCAATTATATAAAATGAGAAATAAATTCATATTAGTTAAAATATCGATATCAGCTGCGCATATTGCAGAGTTACAACCCTATAAAAGGCGGCCATTTTATGCGCCAGATTTTTGTAGGTAGTCACGCTAATTTTGTAGGTATGCCCAGTCCATATACTTCTAAGTCAGTGGCCCGGGCTATCTTCAGTTTTTTAACTTTAATTTTCGCGAAAATCCATGGTGGATCATGGGTGCTGTAAATCACCCGAAACGTCGGGAATTAAAAATAAGTTAATTATAGGCGATATAATCCGTATATATAGTTTTATTCAATGTGTAGGGTTCGCGTAAATTTAATAAATCATTAGCACGTCTTTTCTTTAAGTTATTGCATGTATTTCTCTTTTACCTGTACGAAGTAAACTGCAGTCCAAGTCTTCCTCAAACTCGGTCAAGTTACAGTGAAATAAATCATCTCGTACTGACGTTCGTTATGTCATAGTAATAATAATACGTGATCACGAAAACGTGTCGACGTTCCACATAACTATTACGGAACTGAAATTGGCTTGCGTTATAAACAAAGGTTTTCCGCTTTGTTAATCATTGTCGCCTTTTGCAGCAGCTTTCTTTGTAGCATGATTTAAAAAAATAGCCGGCTAAATCCTTTTTTGCGATTTATTTCGTATGATCTTAAAATTCACAGCCTAAATACGTTCCACCGCTGGGCACAGACCTCCTCTAATTTCTGAGAGGGTTTTAGGGCAAGGAAATATCCGCCGCGCTGCCAAAATGCGTATTGACGTACTTCACAGGTCTTCGAAATATTTTTTATTTCTCAGACATGCAGGTTTGGTCACAATGTTTGCCTTCTCCGCCGAGCACGTGGTAAATCACCACTTGAAATTGCAATTAACAATTTTATTGGTGCCCGCAGGGATGCAACCCGGGTTGCTCGCATACTGTTAAATTTAAAACTAGCGCTTATCCCCTGAGCTCTACCACGGCTCTTTTCTCTTTTGATTCGTATACATTATATTAAGTAAGTATTTTACTGAATCACGCATAACTTTGCAGAAATGCATTATAATATTACCCGTGGAAAATAAACTGGAGCTTTTACCAAGTTTGAAGAGCACTTCACTAAACTCTACACTTAGAAATACCATCATCAACAAAACGATACGTGTTTTGCTTTTTCTTACAAATCGCCATCAGTAAAAATAGATTCAACGAGTACTGTTGACGCCCTGGATTATTAATGTATGATGATTTTTTAATGATTATGCATTGATTTTATATTTTAAGAAAACCAGGAATATTGATAAGCTTTTTAACATCATATTTTAATGTACTTCTTTTAGATCATGCTACATGTATCATCATGATGTTATGTAGAACAGAAAATTACAGAACACTGGCGGCTCATTGACGAGCACATTAAGATGGTAAGATGGGAGACGAGCTTACCATACTGTTGCAATGTGCGTTGGCAAAAACCATATTCACTAATTTCTTAATATTAAATAAAACAAAATATTTAATAAATATTTAATAAAATAATATATTTTAACTATTTTGTAAAAGTAAGTGATACAAACGAAAATACAGCCCAGATGGTAAGTGGGTGCTGTGGACTTTTGCATCTATCCTGGATAAGGAATCAAAAGAAAGATGCATTTTAACCCTCGAGGGCTGATATGAATTACTACCTGTAAAACGGGTCTCCGTTTCTTGTCATGCAAAATACGACACTATTATGTTGCTATTTTACGCTGGCATTCCGTACGAGTGTGACTCAGAGTACATTTTATAAAAAGAAAGAGCGTGGACATTCCTCGGTCATGACGACCCATTTGTGCCGCTTACTCCTCGAACATGAAGGTTTCCTAGCAATGTTTTTCTCCATCCATCTATCCACCCAATACAACCTATAAAAGTCCACTGCCGAACATAGGCCTGCCTCATATATTCCCTCATAGGGTTTTTCCATAGCTGCCATGCTTAGCAGGCGAGTATTGCAACCGCAGTTTATTATTATTTAGAGTTTATTAAGATGATGCTGCCCATCTCCTGTTACAGTTTTCCTTTGTCAGCTCCTACGAAACCCATGAGACAACTATGATGGTATGAGGATATACTTACACCGTCTTATAAAATCTATTCATACTGAAATAAATTAAACATTTAATTTAATAAATAGCTTCTGTGTTCCTGGCATCGTATTCGCCGCGTACATACTATTAAAGTCATGCGAAAACCTCATTCTTATGTTTAAACCTCTTCCCTATTCCGCCTAGGGTTGACACACCTATTTATATGTTTCTGCCGGCAAAAAGCATTGCACCGAATGCTTTATTCTATTTCGGACAGTAAACAGTATAATAACATGCTCTGAGAAGTGTTCTCAGCCCTCAGAGACGACAACGCATGATTTAACCTTCTGGGGTCACGTAATGTTAGCTCGTTTGTACCTATAGTTACTAACACTACTTTATTATATAGTATTTTACAGCATTAGGAGTCAAAATAATATATATCTAGAAAAATACATCATAGGTGAAACTACAATATTTAAATATGGCGTGAGGCTGTTACCTAGGCTGCAATAAAAGTATCGTGAAAGGAATATTTCCACTGTTCCTGTCATATTAAAAAACATTTTAATTGAAAACTCCTTGATTTTAAAAATCGAATACGATTTATTTATTTATTTAAAAAAAAGGTTCTCGGTCTTGTCACAAGGTTTTGTCAAACTTGTTTAGTCGTTGAGAAAATGGAATTGACTCGAGAAAATTCAAGAGCGATGATTTATTATGACTTTCGAAGTGGTTTAACACAAAAACAGTGTGTTGACCGGATGATTTCTGCATTTGGAGATGAAGCCCCATCCAAAACCAGAATTTATCGCTGGTTTGCTGAATTTCAACGTGGACGTGTCAAGCTCAGTGATGATCCCCGTCAAGGTCGTCCAAAAACTGCAGTCACCCAAGAAAACGTTGATGCTGTGCGTAAGCTGATTGAGGAAGATCGACATGTGACATACCGCGAAATTCAGGCAACTTTAGACATTGGCATGAGTCAAATACAAATAATCTTGCATGAAAAATTAGGTGTAAAAAAGTTGTTTTCCCGATGGATACCGCATTCGCTCTGTGAACAGCAAAAAGCGGCTCGCGTTACTTGGTGTGTCAGAACTCTCGAAAGATTCCACGCAGGATCCTCAAATGCTGTATACAACATCGTATCAGGTGACGAATCCTGGATATACGCGTACGAACCCGAAACAAAAAACCAGTCACGAGTTTGGATGTTCGAAAATAAGAAGCCAACAAAAAATTGTTCGTTCACGGAGTGTTGCAAAAAAAATGGTTGCCACGTTTGTCTCCAAAACCGGCCATGTTACGACTATTCCTCTTGAGGGACAAAGAACGGTTAATGCAGAATGGTATGCTAACATTTGTTTGCCACAGGTCGTTTCTGAACTCCGTAAAGAGAACTGCAACCGCCGCATCATCCTCCATACCCCGACCTAAGCCCTAATGATTTCTATACTTTCCCAAAAATAAAGAATAAATTGCGTGGACAGAGATTTTCATTACCTGAAGAAGCTGTGGATGCCTATAAAACGGCCATTTTGGAGACCCCAACTTCCGAATGGAATGGTTGCTTCAATGATTGGTTCCATCGTATGTAAAAATGTGTCAAATTTCGTGGAGAATACTTCGAAAAGTAATAAATACATTTTTAAATAGAAATGTTGTGTCACTTCCTTGATTCCCGAAATTTTCAGTGCCGCCGAATAAAGACCAAAAGCAGCAAAATATTTATTTAAAAATAAAATATTGATTTAAAACATTATGATCATTAAAATTATTTACTGTTGATAGGACTTCTTCAAAAAATACAACTCAACACGGTCCTAAGACGCCAGCATCCAATAATTTCCTGTAAATTTTACAAGGTCGTCGCTTCATCTATTGAAACATATTATATATTTATCTTCTGTGTATATATAGGTTCAATTTGAAAATACTTATACTAGAAATAAAAGAGTTGACCACCCTATTAGCAACTCTAACGTGAAAAAGGTTCTTTTGATAAACTGTTATTTATCGATACGTGGAGATATGCATATTTTATATAGATCTACAGTAAGGGCTTATAATTTATAAATCTCAGAACTTATTTTTTAATTAACGAATCTTTGCTTAGCGAGGCATAAAAATAACGAACTACAAACGTATAAAGAAAACAATGTAGCAAAACCGACTATTGCCACTAAAAGCAACAACAATAGCGCCATTAGGAGATGTCATCGTGCGTGCGACAAACAAAAGCGCCCTGGAAGAGATAAAATAGCGAAACGCATTCGTCTCGACGCAAATCCTATCGCAATCCATTGTGTTCGCTACCTGCTTCCTCCGTAACACCGCAGTTGCGTATCGGTAACGTCCCAAAATGGTTGCAATATACGGTCTTCTCTTCTGCGTTGTGACGATAACTGCAGAACATTCTGGAGCATACTCTTCACCGCAGTATGCTAAGAAAATGTACCCGAAGAAGAACTACGATAGCCTTCTTCTGCCTCGAGAAAAACCTCCAATACCTTTCAATAGCCAGGCCTCTGTTGACAGATTTGATACAAATTTGAATGATACAAGTGAATACGCACGATCTTCGTTTCTAGATTCTGCAGGCAATTTACTAAGCAGCGCCGGTGGGCAAGTCATGTCAAGCCTTGCGAAAGACTTCATAGCCAGGTCGACTGGAAGCAGCCAGGTTGGTTTTGACTGCATTACGCAGGTTCGTATCGCACTGTAAATTGTAAAATGGCACGCAGTCATGCATGATGTTTAATGCTTCATTTTAAAAAGACTCAAAGGTCTGTTATCAGTTAATAAGTGAGTCACCGATTTACGGCCTATCTTACTGTTTTTCTTTTGTAAAATACCATTATATTAGTCATAAGCTCTCAGACAATAATCAAGCAATTATCGACTTTATTTTCTTACCTTATTCCAGATTATTCGTCAAAGTGTTGATTAATTATAAAAACATAATATATAATATAAACTTATAATATATGTTATATTCCCGCGCATGCATGTAATTACTAACTCTATAAATATATAATTTGTAATATTTTTAAACTGATACTGACTGACTGACTTTATGATATAATTACGTAATAATTATATTTGCATAAAAGTCTTTATGCTTAAAATTATATGAATGGCATCGGAATCCTAATAATTGGTTATCTTTAATACAATGTGTCAGTAAGATAAAAAAATTAATATGACTAATGCAACACTTCTTGTATTAATAATGAAATTAGCAAATACCATTTATTTATATTTAGATATGTACATTTTAGAAAAAAAGTTCTCGAGTAGTAGCCTCGTACCGGTAGGCGAAGTGTAAGGCGACACCCCACTCTGGTGGGTGTCGCCTTCAAGTAAGGTATGGAGTGACGACCTGGTAAGATATGCAGGAAGTCGATGGATGCAGGTGGCTTTACAGTGCTTTGTGGAATTCCTTGGGGGAGGTCTATGTTCAGCACTTGACTGGACTTGTGAAGGGTTGTAATGATGATGTACATTTTTAGAAAACTTTTATGTATATACATATAAATAAATGTCAATCTGTTATATCGAAATAACTACTTTGCTCAATGGATTATTTGCGTACTATAAAGACAGATTACCAATTTTTTTTTTGAATTTTTTGTCTGTCTGTGGTCGGAATAGCTGAACCGATTGCAATGAACTTCACGAATAGATTAGAGAACTATGTCAGGAGTAATCGAGGATGAATTTTCTTTTAAATCCAATAATAAAAATCTAATAATCCTGTATTAAAAAAAAAAGATTTTTTGTCAAATTGAAAATCCAATAAAATAAATTGTTCTTGATTATTATCTTTTAATAAGAAATGAAAAAAAATTCCAAACAATAGTTTTTTTTTAATATATTATAAAAGGTTACTCAAACTTTATTTTCTATTACTTAAAGTTTTGATGCGAAAGAAGTTTTAATTTTTTTTTTGTACTTTAGCACCTTTTATGACAAAACTATTTTACGTAATATTAATAGATCCTTTTTTATTTTTATTTTATTTCAAAATAAAAATTGATGATCTATTAATATAATCGCAAGTAACAATTTCTACAATAAATATAAAAACTGACTTTAAAGTAATTTTTCGACAATTAAATAACTTGCCCAAAGAACACTAGTATGCTTGTTTTTTAAAATTCTATGCACACGAAATTGCAGGTTAAAGCTAGTTTTTTTATAGGATAGGGTGCTAAACGAGCACACAGTCTACCTGATGGTAAGTGGTTTCTGTGGCCCATAGACATCTACATCTATCCTCGATTACGAATCAAAATGCAGATGCGTTGTCACCCGTGAGGACTTAGACGGAATGCCTCAATTCCAGTAAAAATAGTCTCCGGTTCTCTACACTCACCATACGAAACATAGCAGTACCTATTAAGCTACTATTTGACGCTGGTATTCTGTGAGAGCGTGGTCTTTCCCCGGTCGAACCGACCCATTCGTGCTATAACTATACTACTAACATAAGTGCAGCATGGCTCTACCACGTAAAACTTAATATATTCTATAGTTCTGTTACAGCATTAGAAATGATATAATTCCTTGTTTTACAGGTATTAAGCCTAAACTTGACCAACTTAGTAATCTTAATCATCCTAAAGGCTTTAATCTTAGCCGCCGGTTTTTTCGGAGCTGGGGCTTGGAAGGGAAATCACTACGGAAGAAGTATCGACGGTAAGTTTTTTCATGCTTTTTTCTTTCATTTAAAAGTTATATCTTTTAAATTTGAAATAATTTCTATTCATTCATTCATTCATTGCAGTGCAATCAAAATCCACTGCTGAACATAGCCAACATGATTCCTATTATTTCTGAGAGAATATTATTGAAAGGGAGGGGTCTTAAAGGAATAAAATAAGCTAATTCTTGCTTTCAATATTGTATTCTATTCTGCTCGATTTAAGCAGTTTCTTATCCTTTCGCGTTTTTTTATCAATAGAATAAGGATGCCAAACGTACACCGGTTTTTATTTTAATCAGGGTGGAAAGAAAAGTCTTACTTCTTTGATTAAAGTACATGAATATATTTTAATACCGAATATAAAGTAGGAACTTAGGGGAGATACGTAAGAGCAAGGTTTATTGTATAATACAACATGCATGTCAAGATCCGAAGCCGAGTAGTGAAGCCGAGGCGGTAGCTCGCTAGTAGATAATATCTTGTGATTAATTTAAGCTTTGCTTTGTCGTTCTATCTTCACAGTTCCCATCTTGATCGTTTCTAATGTCACATTTGTACGTAATGATGTCAACGAAATTTTTCATAACGCGGGAACACTTTACTAAATATGTTTTTAATTAGCCATATAACTCCAAACATAATAAACAGGAAGCCAAATTATAATCACAACAATCAGTCATCGAGTCCATCTGCCTTTTGCGGCTACTTAGTGACCGTTACCCCTTTGTTACCGCCACGTGCCAGGAACTGACCAGTGGCGAGGCTGTTGTTAATCCAATACATCTAGTGATGCGTTTGTCATGTCCATTCGAGAAGTAATCCTATTCGATGGGGATAATCCGTGCCCAGTGTGACCGCCGCATTCACTAAATGACCAGCTTAGAAACCTTTAACGTCTCATTGAATATTATGTATACCGAACTACATGATAATGTGTTATTACTTGCGGAAAGGTTTTCTTTGCTTTTTATAATATGTTTATCGTAATATATTTTTTATAATAAGTAAACTAGGGCTTTATCAGTGCGGTGTTATTTTGTATCGACTTGATCACATAACGCTAACGATTTCTTAGTATCCTTACTTAAAATATGATGTTATTTATTGTATAAAGAAACAACTTTTAAAAAATGCGATTTACTACTTTGACAAAAGACTAACTTTTAAGTGAATGCAATTTATTCTATTCTTTTGAGAAATAAGAAAACTTAAGACTTTTAGAACAGAAAAATAATGCTTTTATTCTTTTGACTCTAATATTTTGCTATAGTTAAGTATAGTAATAAAAGTGATAGGAAAAAAATCACATGTACGCAAAAAGTTATGATTATTATTTCTATCAATCTCAAAGTACTCTACACCGTCAGTGATAGCTACTTCTGATAGCACAGACTTTATGGAGTTCGAATTTTTAATTTATTTTCATTTATCTTACAGAAAACATGAATGCTGTCTACTTAACCGAAGACGAAATTCTGCTGTACCTGAGCTACTTGACTGGGCAGCAGAACAAGGATTACGGATGCCTGTATCGCCTCTCTTGCCAAAAGCCACATCAAGCTTCCCTTTATTCTTCTGGTGCAGAACTGATGCTACAAGGAGCCAAATTGTGGCAAGGGTATGACTGAATTTAGTGTTATTTAATGTAACAGTACAACTGTGAGTATGGACAGTTCCTATATCCAGCAGTGGAATTAAAAAGGCTGTCGACAAAAATGACAATTAATAGTGATAGGTCTAGGTCTGGCAATTTTCTGTCACAAATACCTTACGTAGAACATGATATCATCTGGATGCTTGGAAGTCCACCACTGTACGATTTACTAGAATTTTTTTAATAGCATTGGGTGACAAATGAGCACACAGTCCACCTGATGATAAGTGGATGCTGTTGCCCATAGACATCCACATTTATCCTCAATTAAGAATCAAAATGCAAATGCGTTGTCACCCCTGGGGACTAAGGTTCTAGTAAAAAGGGTCTCAGTTTCTGGAGATTTTTTTTATGGTGAGTGTAGAAACTCACCATACGAAACACAGAAGTACGCTGGTATTTTACGCTGGTATTCAAGTTAATTTCCTAAGTTACTTTCTTTGCACGACGTCCCTATGGAATTGTTTACCACCGACAACTTATTTGGATCGATATGACTTAGGGAACTTTAAGAAAGCTTATTCATTTTAAAAGACCGGCAACGCACCTAGATTCCCCTGGTGTTGCTGTTTTTCGTGAGCGGCGACTGACACTTTCCATCAGCTGCGTGCTCGTTTGCTCTCATTGCTATAAAAAAAGAAAAAATGTAGTGACGAAATAACGACCATTTTATGGTATTCGATGGTGAGGTATGTTATTATCATATTAAACTTGTGATGAACTGTAACACGGTGATGATGATAAATAACTGATAAAATGGCATTGAAATATTCTCCATCTTAATAAAAAAATGATGTTTGATAAATATGAAAATACAATTTTGACACTTGAACTTTCACTACTGCATGTTTACAGAAATAATATTGAACTTGAAGAATATGAAGACATCTCGAATGGTATCAAGCAGGCAGCAATTTTCGGTGAAGAAGGAAAACCGTGTGAAAAACTATACAAATGTGTATAATTACAAATAAATTGTACTGAATTATACTTTTATGAACATAAGATTTTTGTTAAAAATCTTTAATTTTAGGCTATGTCCAAAGTCTGTCATAATTTAGGTAATAAATAGTTTAAAGTAATAAATTTTATTATTTGTGTAATTATCGATTAGTGATAAAGATGTTTTAGTACTTTTTTAAATACTTATTAAAAATAAATTTTGACTTACCAGAATGGAATAGCTTCCAGTTCCACTCTTTTTGTCCTTGTTTTGTATAACTACCTCCAAAGCCCAAGAGGTTTTGGCATATCCGCCACATTTGGCAAACGGAATAAAGGCTGCAGTACCAGATGCGCAATATCTGGCTGTAACTGGATGTTGTGGTCCATTGTCACATACTTCATTGTTAGAACTCGGTTAAAAATCAAAATGCAGGTGCGTCGTCAAGGATGGCAATTCGAGAACTAAGATAGAATCCCTCATTAACAGTAAAGGTCATCGGTTCTCATCACTCACTATATGAAACACAACAACCTATTGCTGCTAAAATCCACACAATATTTTCATATTCTTATGTTCCGCACTTGTAAAAATTACAGAAATGGAAACAAAACTAAAGATTTAGGATTCACTTTTGATGGAAATAGAAATACTAGAACTTTTGTTTGCATAATGATCATCAATATTATTAAAAATTGAAAACATTCAGCGTAATGCTGCTGGATAAACTACAGCCCTGGTGACTGTAATAGTGTTAGTGTTTTTAGTTATCTATATGTCCACAAACGTTTAATTAGGCTAAGGATAATCACAAAAGAAACCAAAGCTTCATGATTTCGGACAAATATTAGAATTATCATCTTAAATTATTTTAAGATTAAAAAATTACCAGATTCCGGTCAATTTTATCTTAAATACAAGACAAAGTTGAAAGAAGATGGTCATCCGGTTAATAAGGTCTCTTTCTTATAACTCAAAAACTACAGCCTTGTTTGCATAGATGACTGTATGATACGATAGCTTTTCATCGGTCAATGAAATAATAAAGGGTTAAAAGGGCGTTTTTTTATAGTATAGGGTGACAAACGAGCACACAGTCCACCTGATGGTACGTGGTTGCTGTGGCCCATAGACATCTACGTCTATCCTCGATTACGAATCAAAATGCATATGTTTTGTCAGCTGTGAGGACTTAGATGGAATGCCTAGTTTCCAGTAAAAAGGGTCTCCGGTTCTCTACATGACGCTGGTATTCTGTGAGAGCGTGGTCCTTCCCCAGTCGAGCCGACACATTCGTGCTACAACTATACTACTAATATAACTACAGCATGGCAATACCACATATAAAAATTGATAGATAGATAGATAGATAGAAAATTCTTTATTCACCTTGGCCTCACTCTCCCCTCATTCCTCCATTAAATATAAAAATGATGTGTTTTTTTTTTTTTGTTTTTTTGGGTAATTTTTAAAATGGGCACTCAAACAAAACAATTTGGTACAAAAGCGAACTTAATGCCGAAAAGGCATTCTCTGCCAGCTAACCTTTTGTAGTGTGGTGAGAGCTATGGGTAGAGATTAAAAAATTGGTTTATAGACGCCATTTTAACAATTTAAATACATTTTTAAGTTAATTTTTGGAGGTGTCCCTGATTTACTAAAGTTTGTTTGTTTTTTCCTTAATATATTATTTATAGTATACGACTTTGTATTTTTGTCTATGTCATCCTCTTAGTTTTGGTTGGCGACAAAGCCTACGGTGACCATATTACCCTCACGCATATACCTTATTTTTAACTTAAAAAAGTTATCCGTAAAAATATCGTAAGTAATAAAAATAATATAATCATACAATGTTAGTTTTCACAACAAAAGGGCCAAATCGAAAGGCAAAAACTCGCTGAAAATATTGTGGCGGTTTTGCTCGCGGATCCACTGCAAAGTCAAACAGTTTACAGCAACCTATCACCAACAAGCTTTATCAGCAATCCATCGAGGCCGCATAAAAGCTAAAATGAATTACTCATTAAAATTTTAAATGTTGTTGAGTGATAATTCATTTTTATATTCTTATAAATCGTTTACAATAATACTTAGTATTACAATACTTAATTAGCTGCTAATACTCTTGGAGTTCTTTCTGAAGGATTTCTAGCTCTTGCTGCACGATATTCTGCATACGAGACGTATCCGTCACCATCTGTGTCATCTGATTCTAAGGTTTGGTCCACTAAGTCTGAAATGAAAAACACATTTCGTAAATCATTATATATACGAAGAACTCCAGTGCTCAATGACGAAATTACCGTGTAAAAATTTCGTATTGTACTGTTGTGGTAACTAACTTCCGATGTTATTACAAACTTGTTCGCTTTGTTGAAGTAGCCAAGAGAGCTCTTTTATGAAAAGTTGTATATTGTTATCAGTTAAGTTGTAGTTGCAAACTCGCCATTAAACTATTATCAGTGGCTTGTATTACCTATGTTACTTTCACTTGAATATTTAAAGAAAACGTTTACAAATTTTATAACATACATAGATCGTGTTTAGTTTCACAAGTTTGACAAACATTCGTGAATTTGAAGAATGTTCCATGTAAATTAATATTTTTATAATTTGTTAAGTAGTTTGACCTACAACGTGTCTTTAAAGTTGTTGCTTTAAGTTTGATCAAACACGTAGGATTTAAGTCAAGAAAATAAAATTTGGTTCATCAAAAGCTAACTACAGCTTTAAAATAACATTCTACTACCAGAAAGTTTTAAGGGTCATTGATACAATATTCCGAATAATAATTCAAAAGAAATAAACCCATAGGTAACTCAAGCATGTTGTGTAATTAAGTGATACTTAATGATTTCTTAGATTTACGCGAACACTACACATGATTAAAACTACTTTTACGGATTTTATAGCTGATGTGAAGCATCAACGTTCCGGGAAGTCTGCAGTTTGTGATCATATCCTGGACGGCCCCAACCATTACATCAGATTTGATAGACCACAAATCCTCGCGAAAGAACACCGATTCCTACCAAGGATGATACGTGAGGCTATTGAAATTAAAAAACATCCTAATTTCAATAGAGAAGGAGGCTGGGTACTACCACCTGCTTGGGATCCTATAATCAATAAAATTAAAACTAAACCCAAGCATACCACTGCAAGACCTCAAGACATAGTCAGCTCATTTTGCAGAGATCGGACCATAAACAATAATTAAAAAAGCTGAAGGTACTCCGGGTTTAACAATGACATCGGGACGTCAGTCATCTCAGTCCCCCGTGACCATGGGTGCTTGAAAGCGCCCAAAACGTCGGGAATTAAAAATAAAAGTAATTAAAAGCAAAAATAAACGCGATAAAATCCGTAAAAGTAGTTTTAATCATAAGTGATACTTTTACTCAGGAACGGGTAGAGGTATCAAATTAAAGTTTCAAAGATCGAGTAAAGAAAACAAAAGAAAGTTCGCTTATTTGTACTCCATCCATCCATCCATTAGAGCCTAGAAAAGTCCACTGCTGAACATAGCGCCTTCCCCTCAGATTGCCTCATAGGGGGGATTCTACCATAGTTACCACGCTTGCCATAGGGATCAACAATCGTATATTTTAATTATTATTAGTTGTCATCAAGATGCTGTTACCTGTTTTGGTGTCTTACGGCATAGCGGATATTCTTACACCGCAACTACATCGTTAATTAGTTTTTATATAAAAAAATAATTGCGATTAAAAACTTACATTTCCAGTCAAAGAATCGTTTAAAAAACTCGAATAATAACAGTTCTTCTAACACTACTCAACTCACACCCCCGTTAATCAATCCAACTAAGTTGTATATTGTATGTGCTTATGTAAAGTTAATGTGAAGTTAGTTGTTAAAGTTTGATCGTACCTATATAAGCGTCCAAATCTTCAGCTTCAGGTTCAATTGATGATTCGGACTCGGGATCAGGATCCTCGTGATCGACTGTGTGATATACTGCCTGTTGAAAAAAATATCAAACTATAATGCACCTAGTATAGAACAAAGTCTCCCGCCATCTGTGCGCTCAAATCTTTTTAAACTTCACAACGGATTTAACGCGGTTTTCATCAATAGACAGAGTGATTCAAGAGGAAAGTTTATATGTATAATACATGCCTATTATATAGGAACATTATATAAATAAAAATCAATTGCCGCATGTATGAAACATGATCACTTGACCACGGCTGGACCGAATTTCATGAATTTTTTTGTGTTAGGGTAGGTCCCTGAATGGTTTGCATTCACAACTGTACCCGGTAGGTGGTGCTGTTGTAGACGTCCAGAAATCACCCGTGCGAACCTCTGTGCTAGTCTAACTATAATATTAATATCCTATTGCTAATCGTTACTGTTAATATTGATTGTTAATATCGTTATCATTACTATTAATATCTTATTGCTAAGCTTACCGTGTAGTGGCGGTGTTAGGATATCCACTACCCCATATCATAACGTGGGTATCGCAAGAGGCTTGTCAAGCGTAGCAACTATGGCAAATATCCCCCCCCCCCCCCGTATGAGGCAATCTATGTGGGAGGCCTGTGTTCGACAGTGGACTTTAGTAGCTGTAACGTTAACAGCTAATCGTTACATTAGAACATACCTACTATTTATATTTGGTAGATTACTTATACTTCGTGTGATTGCACCCTGTAAGAAGGTCCAAAAAGGAATGTTTTCTTCAAATGCCAACTTTACACATATTGCAGCACGAGTCTAACAGACAAACGAGGCTTTAATGACCGACTAATGGCGGATAATTTTATTAAGAGTTTCAAACCCAAATCCCACAAACTGGTGATAGGCTATAGCATCACCATGACAGGGTGTTGACTGTGCATTTATCAATTACTGTGTGATAATATTAAGATAATATAATATAATTGTTTACTTTATCATCTGATGATGCAAACCCAGCGTTTCGCTGGGTTTCAAGCTATGAATCCACGACTCGCACTCAAGCATTTAGTTGAATATATCAAATCAACATAATGTCCCATGTTGGTCTAGTTCCTATCCGTAGCTTGTTTATAACAAATGAAAAAACTTAAAAACTTGATAACTGTGCTTCTTGCCTAGAATAAGTAAAAGGCAGCAAATGGGATATTGGAATTGTAACTAACTATTCTGTTAAACTACGGTAGTGAAGGCGTTACGTAAATGTAATAAATATAATAATATCAATAAACTTAGTAATTTTTATCTTATACATAGTATAAGTATAATAGTTAATAAAATATTACCTTTAACAATTCTAAACCATCCAATTTAGAGTTTCTATCGAAATCGTGAGCCGAGAAATAATAAAACTCTAGTTCTTCGGAAGTCATTTGCGATAAAGCTTCAGGAGTCAGAATTTTATTGTCCTCCTGTATGTGCCTGGTAAAAAAATAAAAATGAAACATCAAATTCACTTTAATAAGGTAAACAAATTTAGTTCACTTTAATAACGCAATAAAGCTAGTTTCAAAGAGTTCCTATGTACATTCAAATTAAGTCTTTGAATCTTTGAGTCAAGGTCAACGAAAAAATAAATACACGTGATAATCTTACTACACCCTTTCGAGCCTCACGTGATTAATGGACGGCCCTTTATCTGCACGTGCTTGAATAACACTAATGCAAAATTATTTGTGATCGACAGCCTGCAGTGTAAGAGATTCGGGGACAATTACAAAACAATTAGACCCGAAAACTAACGATTTGTGGCTTTTCCCACAAAAAAGGCCCAGGCGCTGTAGCAACGTTAATAAAACGCACAGATTTTTTTTTGCATCCGAAGCAATTAAGGGCAACCCTCCGGTAACGGGGGATGGAGGTGGAGAATGCTCATAGCATACCGCGCAGTCGGCTGCGTGGTTATGTGGAGACTTTTACCTACTAAACTCCACCTTTAGGGATTGGCTTACTGATCTGACGAGAGATCTTTAAGCCGTAAACGGACGCGACCCTCCTTGGCAGAAAGGAGGGCGCAAAACGCACAGAAGTGAACAGACTAAAGGACTATCTTTACTTCACTTCTCTCACACGAAGTGCAATTTCGATCCTCCTCCTTATCAGACTACGGTGCGCTCTCTAAGCCGTCACCAAACATTATACTATTTTAATTATTTATATTTATACCGATTATATATATTTATACAGATATCTTGTTTAATATTGTATCATGTCTCATTTCAAATAAAAACGGTTCCACGGGGAAGTGTTTTACGTACATTAATTGGGTTTCGCCTACACCAGGGCAATAGAAATCGTAAAAGCTCGTGACCTTGCCGCACATGTGACTCGTAGGCCGCAACTATAGTCACTAGTTTTGTTTCGGACGCAGAGACGTAAAAATTATGTTTTGAAGCATATCCAACTGCGGAAATTCACAACTAGCAAATTTTGTAATAAAGGCATAACATTTCATAAATAAGTACTTAGTGTTTTAAATAATGTTGTTTTTAATGAAATATACTTAAATAAAATTATTCTAATCTCAGTACTGACGATGATGTCTCCGAAAATGTAACCGTTTTCACATTTCAAAATCCATGGATTCTTTCATATCTACGAGTACGACAGCTAAAAGCCGCGGGAGTCGAACGCGAGTCAGTTACGTGACACTACTATTTTATATCGACAATTTATTACGTTTGGCTTACCTAGGTTTACCGAAATGGGAATGAAATGTGATTTTTCGTTAAATATTTATTTACACCTCCTCTATTATTTTTTTCTTTCTAAATATTTTATACCGTTAGCCCTTTATCAGCGATTATCTGTTTATTCGTACTTGTAAATTACTTGATCAATTTTTTTGCAATTTTAATATATTATAAGGATAAGTAATTATATTGTAAGGATAATAGACTAAATTCGATCTGTAAGAAGCCGGGTAACTGAAAAATAACAAACAACAGAAAGTCAGTTACAGATCTTTAAAACTAATAAAAATGATAAATATGTCACATATACATATATAATTTATTTATTTGCTATTTGTATAATGTTGTATTCATTTTATTTCTATATCTGTATATTTAATAAAATACCATTATTCTTAGTTTCCAAAAGGTCCGGATATTAAAGATAAATGGATATACTTGTCCTTAACGTTTTGTTATATCCTCTTTTCTCTAATTATAAAGCGTCTAAAAGCTAATGCTAAGACCAAAAGCGTCTATTACTGAGACATTTTCAGTTAATTAGTTATATCTTGGTGTGAGACTCCTGGACGATCAACGATGCTTAAAACAAAGTCATCGAAACGTGCGTTGTGCTGCACTATGCCCAAGTTAGAGTAAGCGCGCAATGTCATTTTCTGTTTTTCGCACACGTTAATTATTGGACCGAGTGGCTACGCCTCCTGAGATTTTGCGTTTTTAAAAATATTCCTTAACGAAATAGTTTATAGTTTAATCTGTGTTGCATGAATGCTAGAGACATGGGTAGGCGTAATTGTGTATTTATTGTTTATCTATGTGTGAGAGCTGCGAATCGGCGATACGCGTCCTGATATTAAAAAAAACAGTAGAAGGCATTTCCATTGCATTATTTAGATTTCTGTGGCCTACACTCAAATCTAGAACAATTAATTGCAGCTCATAAGTATAGTTGTTCCGTGCGGTAAACAAACCCACGGCCCGCAGCGTTTCAGCCATACGTTTGACCACTGTGCTACAGAGTCGACATTTTTTACTAAATGGTAATTGAGATCTCGTAATATTATTTCTCAGTGCATTATTTTATTTATAATAGTATAGCAATATAACCAGCCAGTGTTTTAAAATAGATATATTTTTAGAAATGTTTTAATAAAATAAATAAGTGCAACAATTACACAAACTAATAAAAACTAGCATAAATGCTAGGTTTCATTAGTTTGTGTAATGCTGCAACAATATTTACTAGCTTCATCTTAGAAGCAACTCACTTAATGTCATGTAATACTTGACTTTCTCTGGTAAGCGATTCACCACCTCGTGGCCTGGAGTGTTGATGCTTGTGCTTGTTCGACGCTTGACCTTGAGGATGATGAGGACCACGACGCATGCCTGATGCCAATACATTAACAAGCAGAACGAAGCTCACTGAAATTAAATTTATACTCTCTTAAATTATGGCAAACTTCTGTCTTTAATTAAATACATTTAAAAAAAATATTTATTATTTCCGCGTAGTGGCGGTGTAAGAATACCCACCAACCCATAGATATAGTATACATTAGATTGGCGATGGAGTGATGAGAATGAGACCAAAAACTAAATGTACCGGTGTGAGTGAAATGTGCACGCGTGTATAAAACGAATAGTGCTGCGCTATGCATCAACTTCAATCATCGATAAAGAGCGCTCGCTCTGTATCATAAAATGTATCATTATATTTGTGGGCGTAAAATAAAAAAAAATAAGAAAAGTTTGTGATTTTTATTTTCCACTAAAAATAACAAATTTATTGTTAAAAAATGTCGTAAGCTCTCCTTAGAGGTATTTTGCAATTTTGATTCACACTTCAATGTAATAATCAAATAAGTTTCAATTATTAATTTAATAATTAAGTGTTTATGATTTGATATTGCAGACGAATCATACATATGTATGTCAAGTACCTATGTCAAAATAATTTTTGCAGTACACAAGGCATTCGTTTACTAATTTTCGAAACATATTTTCGTTAACATTTTTTCCTTTCAGAAATTTTCGAAAAACTCGTTCAGAAAGAATACCTATCTCATAAACGTCTTGAGAGGGATAAACGAGGCCACCTACATCCTTCATGTTTATAAGTGAACCTTCCATAACTTCAACATAAAGTACATTTACACAGGATTTGCATTTAATTTTATTTGCAATTTTTTCACCACGTAACCACATATGTACTGAATGAACAATGGAATTAACTACAGATTCTATGCCTTCAGAAATCAATGGCATAGATGATACAAAATTAGAAACTTCATTATCGATTTGGTCTGGGCCAATAGCCACATGGTCGCTTAGCGTCGTCATTGCACTAAGGCCAGTTATTTAATGTATCTATAGTACACGATCTTTGTAGATGGAGCATACTAATATTCTCCAAAGGCAAACAATTAGACTTGCACGTCGCTGATTTGCACGTCCACGTGACAGATAAATCGTTTGTATGCTGCTGTGAATTGTCTGGCTGTAGGATTGTTGTTAAATCCTCCTCTAGAACGTACTGCACTAAAAACAGTTTATACGATCTTGAGAGAGTTTATAGATCGGAAGAAACTTTAATTTTCTTGACTCTATAAAATCGACATAAAGCCACTTTAAAGCTATTGTATTCGCCAAAAAATCAATAAAACCAAGTTTTCTTCGACTCTTTATCAAAGCTTGGGTTTTGTATTTTAAATTATTTATATACTCATAGACATTGTCACATTCAGCTTCAACATTTTCAATATTCTTTGTATTTAAGGCCTTCTCAAATCCGTAGCTGAGTAAATTTCTGGAGTTAAAAATGCGAAATATGATAATTTATCATAATATATATGATAAATGATAATAAATATATAATATAATAATTTTCAATCATAGGCAATTTTAATACGTCTTTGCAGAAATCTAAGCTAGTTGCAACAGAATTATTTAACAGTTGCGCTGCTAACCGTACATTCATTTTGTGATTTACAAAATTTACATGTTTTTAGTTAGCTTATTTGCCAAATTCAAATCGACATGATGTTGAAGTTGGCGGACATTTTCCAGAAACTCGTATTTAATAATATCATTATGATGATAAAAAAATTTGTATTGTGAAAGTATTTCTAACCAACGTTAGAAAAAAGGAAAAGGACCTTGGTTCTACAGCGGAGTTATTCATCTATTATTTTATCACTAGTATTTGTGCCATATTTATATTAGATGCTATGCCATCAAAAGTGACAGCAGCAACTTTTACAAAATCTGATAATGAAGCAATACACTGTTTTAGAGGTGTTGCTTTCTGTGAAGCAGTAAATCCTCTTCCAAAATAATAAGCAAATGGGATTTTCCAAAAAGAAGTAATTGCCACTGCCATGATTAGTAATACCTCTTTATCCTTATCTACTTGATCTCCATAAATACCATTACCCACATCAACATAGCCATGATGATTACGACCGTCAAATTTAATGAGCTTGCGGATAGAAATTTTGTCGAACGTAAGAACGTAACCAAATCTTTTTTTCTTTGCTTATATCCTTTATGGTTTCTATGGCTTCCTTAGTGATGCCGGGATTACAGCCTACATTTTCGTAGTGTTTGAGGATGTGGTAGACACAGGTCAAATTTTGTTCTAATGTAATTGTAAGCTCTTGTTTAATATTTTTAATTTGTTTTTTCTTAATAACCCATTCGATGAGATGCTGCAACAAATCGTTTGAATCGTTTGACACAATTACAGCACTAATATTATTTTGAAGTGAGGGAAGCCTTTCTAGATTTTTTATCACTTGAGACAACTTTTCCACTTTTTTATTAGCCCGTTTTTTTGTACTCTTATATTTTTCAGTTCTTTTTTGTTTCATAGCTAGGCGTCTCCGAATAATATCAATAGTTTTCTTCATTTTTTTCTTTCTCGGGGAATTGTCTATTGCAGAAACGTTTGCAGTAGAGCTACTGGGTACTAGGATTATATCTGTAGAGATATGACGATACTTTTCGTTTCGGCTTCAATACAACCTACAAACAAATATAATTAGTATATGTATATTAATTACTTATCTATGACAAAAATGAATAAAATGAGGTTTTAACCACCCTTTTACCATTTTTGCCGCTAAGTTGCAGTGCTTTCACCGGCACATTCCGGCCTGTTGAATATAGAGAGCCTGTATAATTATAAGCTGTAGGGTATTTTATCTTAGTCTTCAGGGGTCAAAACACATTTGTAGCTTTCTTTATTTGAAGCTGACTGTAGGTGACCATGTACTGCAGTAGCCGTTTCCATCAAGTGATCCTGTAAGTTCTTTTGTTACTTTCGTTTAAAAAATATATAAATTACAAAGATGACAACAATTTGTACACATTTGAACATGCGCAAACGAAATTAACATATGTACAATCAAATATTTAATTAAGAAACTACGCACCGGCTTAAATAATGTGGGTATTGAACCAGAACGCAGCTTTACTCTTTGTGTACTTCTATGAAAAAAAAACATTTTTGTTCAAAGTGCTTGCTGCATATAGTTGTATATGTATTTTTTAGGAACCCAGTCTTCTCTATTTATCATTTTTAAATATTTTTGTTTAACCTCAATATTTTTTGGAAATCTGAAATATCAATAAATTTTAATTTATTTCACTAAAGTATTTACTATAATGGCAAAAATAAAATATTGAAAATTAAAAAAATTACTAAGTTAAAAGAGGCTGCATCCAAAGATATGCCTTTGCCTGTTATAAACATACTATCGATAAGATGACATCGATGATCAGTGATCTCTACAAAAATTAAACCAGAAATAGTGGGAATTCACGTATTTGTTAAAATTTTTATTATAAATTCTTACGCATTTAGAATATTATCGTAATAAAACGCGATATTTTTCCCTATACATTTGTGTGTGTACCTAACATTTGTACCAGTTCTAAAATATTGCATTTATAGTGCTAAACATTTTATTTGTACTTACGTGTGAAATGTATAATTTTGTGGATTTTCTTTTCTCGGTGAACTGCATTCAGATACTACACATATCACCATATTTAATCTCATATTAAAAAAAAATTTAATACTTCGAAATCAAAGACACCGCGAAAATTAGCGGGATTTGTTTCGTTAACGATTGACGTTAGCTATAGGTTTATAGCGTAGCGTATACACATACGTGTACGGTCTAGCCATTTTCTCTCGTTCTAACGTAAGATATGCTATGCTCTTTCTCTTTTACATTGCCAATCTAACGTAAGTATATACTAAATCTATGCACTACCCCGTATCACCCCGTGGATGATAAAAACTGGGAAATGTTGGAGATGAGCGTCTTGTTTGTCTTCTTAAATAGATGATAACTTCTACCTTACAGAAAATCACAATGCTTTTATGAAAACAGATACAAAAACATCTTTTTCTTCTAAACGATGTCTTATATTTACGCGAACACTACACATTGATTAAAACTACTTTTACGGATTTTATCGCGTTTAATTTTAATCGATTTTTGATTCCTGACGTTTCGGGTGCTTTCTAGCACCCATGGTCACGAGGGACTGAGGTGACTGACGACCCGATGTCAATGTTAACCCGGAGTACCTTCAGTTTTAGTTATTGTTTATGGTCCGATCTATGCAGAATTAACTTACTCTGACTTGATGTCTTGCAGTGGTATGCTTGGGTTTAGTTTTATTTTTATTAATTACAGGGTCCCAAGCAGGTGGTAGTATACAGCCTCCTTATCTATTGAAATTAGGATGTTTTTTTAATTTCAATAGCCTCACGTATCATCCTTGGTAGGAATCGATGTCCTTTCGCGAGGATTTGTGGTCTATCAAATCTGATGTAATGGTTGGGGCCGCCTAAGATATGATCACAAACTGCAGACTTCCCTTTTTAATTTTAATATATTTAAATTTTTTCTTCTTCTTTATTTGCCGGTCAAAAAACATTACTGGACAGGAGCCCCTTCCGTCGTAGGGATTTGGCTTACTTGTCACGCTTGACAGAGAGATTGAAGATTGCAGTACCAGACGTCTTGCACCTTCGACGCTACTGCCCGTCACCGATTTGGGTATTTCAGTGCAAACAGAAATGAGATGGTTATACCGCTATCAGAAGCGATAAGTTTTTTGTGTCTTTTTCTATTTAGTACGACATCCACGGGACCAAATGAGGTGATGGCTTCTTTTTCGTAGACACCATATGGCACAACAATTAACATTATAATAAATGTAATATTATTATAAAGGTAGGACCGCACTAGGCGGAATTGAACCGCATCGGAACTGAGCGACATGAGTTGGTCAGTTGATCAACTTTGCCGCGCAGTTCTGCAGCTATGTAGTTCCCTTGCCGCTTAGTGCGTGTTGTCTCATAAAATTTCATATTATTTGACGCATCGTGTCGACCTTAAGTCTTT